GCACGAGTCTTTCATGTTTGCCGAACGCTCGAAACTCTATCCCTCTTTGTCTTTTGTATGGCTGTCTCTTTCTACGTTCGGCACACTACAAAGAATGTAGGACCTCTACCGTAAATGTTACAATCGAGACCGGCAAAAGTAACATTTACGGAGTGAATACTGTACAAGCTTTGCCTATGTTCAGCTGTACAGAGGTTGACATGTTCAAGAAAATCTTTTAATTTTGCGCCGCCTCCGAAAAGGTTGAAATGTATTTAATATACTACCTAACGAGTAAATAGGTTTCATTCATATCTGTGACGTAATTGTATGATTGAATGAAATAGAAATTATTTTATACTTTTTAGTGCATTTCGAAGTCGGTGTATTTTTTTTCTTAAAATTATTTTATGTCATTCAAAATGTCCCCTCAGAGGGGACAGCAGAGTGCAAAGGGTTAAGTAGTAGACTTTCACAGTAGTTTACACCCTTAACCTTAACATTGTTCCAGGTTCAGAAATCTAACTGAAATAAGTGATATATCATCATTTGGTTGAACTAAATTCAGTCAAATTTACTTTGAACTGTTTCTAATATGTTTTTCATGTGTTGTTTCTATTTGACTCAATACAATTCTCAATTTCACTTCCCCATTGATTTAAAAATGTTCTTAACTCTTTCACTGGTAAGTATCATAAAGAAATCTTCATGGAATATCTTCTTTAATTTCATAAATAATTTCATAAATAATTTCATAAATAATGTATTTGGTACATGTGTAGACGCATATCATATTATACATATTTCTTACATACTACATCTAAATCAGTTTTGAAAAAAAGAATTGCAATGTTCCAATTTGAGCAGTTATCTTTTGAAATATGTATTAATATTTAAAACTAAATATTAAAGTCAATTGCACATTCATTAATGTTAATTACAATACAAAAATTATAAAAGTACACAAATAGGTTTGGGAATATGAGAAAAGAACGTATTTATTGCGAGAAATTTCTTAAAATGTACAATGTATTTTACAAAAGAAAAGTCATATACATTTAAACTTATTCATATAAACACATCATACATCTTGATATTGCTTTGAAAAATTATACTTGTACTCTTACTTATCCATAAAGTATTAAAGTAATGATATACTGATTTGTTAATAAAAATTATAATATGTATAGAAATTATAATGAAACATATAGAAATTTAACTCATATAAAACGAATATGGAATGTATCAACGTGTAATATTTAAACAAAACAAACAAAACAAAATTTTTGTACATTTGCATTTGTACATGGTCCTATTAATGAACTGTTTTCAATGTAAGTACATTGTATATATATGTATACTTACAAATATATATAGAGTAATATTTTTTACCTTACAGTAGCTCTAAACAAATATGATCAAATTTCGCTCCAGTAGCTACACAATTCTTGATATCAGATGATATAAGGTTTGGTAATTTGGAAATTTGAAAAGTTAAATATCTAAGTTAGGACTTTAGAAAATTTAGAATTGTAAGTTAGAAACGTAGAAATCTAGAGAATTGGAAAATTTAAAAATCTAAAAATTAGGAATATAACTAAAAATTATGTTAGCCAAATATATCTGTCAAGCCACTTGTTCATGCTTAATCTGTAGTACAATAATGTATGCCATGCATATATACACACTCACGTATCCACTTACTATACTTTTCCTCAGATGAAAAAATATATATCAATAGTGTTATAAAATCTTTTTACACCTCAGTAATCGCCTAGAAACTTCTATGTTTTAATTATAACATTGTTGAAATCCAAATCACTGTCTGATGTAGCTTTTTCGTATTTCAACTTTACTCTATCATTTTAACTACGTATATTTTCATAGATATTGTCTGAAATACTACTTCTACTTTTATATTATAACTTTTTGTACCTTTAACTGTTGTTTTTATTTTATTAAAGTGCTTCATATTGCTTTTTGTGCCTGTTTCATTTCTCTCAATACTGTTACCTAAATGAATGTTACCTTACGTTTTTTCAGAGGTAAAACAATTTTTAATGAGTTCTGTACATTTTCCCAATAAGTGTCTCTATCTTCATTGCCTGGTCTTTCTATCTTAGTTACGGTTTCTTCAAACTTTGGTTCTGTTTTAATCTTATTTTCTGAATGCTTTGTTTGCTTCTTTCTCATATCATTTTCAACATTTTCATCTAAATCACAGTATATTGTTGAAGATTTTTTACAATCTTCATCTTGCATATTCTCAGAACTAATAGTCAATCTTTCTGTTTTAATCTTTGTGTTCTGTATTTTATAGTTTCTACTCTTTCCCTTTAACGAAGCTGTTTTAGAATTTCCATTCGTATCACTTTCAGAAGTCTCAAGGTCCATCTTCCACTCCTTCTTAGAAGACTTCTTTATCTTATTTTTTTTATATGTATCATCGGACTTTTCCATTTTAATGTCAACACATATTTCTTTACTGTCATTGGAAGATTTCGAATTCTTTTTAACTGTGGGTGATATGTAATTATATGAACTAAACTCTTCACTAGAATGACCACTATTATCTACGCGCTTTCTTTTTCTGGAATTCTTCTTCAATTTCACTTTATTTTCAAGCATGGTTTCTTCCATATTCTTAATTTTATTAAGTTTGTCAACCTTTACTGTAGCAGATAATCTTTTAAATTTTTTCTTTGACCGATATTTTTCACATATTTTCTTAATATCTTCATTTATAGAACTTTCAGAACTGTGCCTTTTGGATTTCCTTTTGAACTTGCTCTTTGGATGTATACATTTTACCAATTCCTCATTCTTCGTAAACTTATTATTCGTACAAATATTGCTTGTATACTTGGGTGATTCTAGTTGTACAACTTCTTTTACTGTTTTACATCGTTTGTCTTTCTTTTCCTTTTCAGAATATGTAACTACTTCCTGTTCAAGACTTTTGTTTAAGTGTTTGTGTTTATTTTTCTTTTTCTTTGTTGATGATACATTTTCTGCAGAAAAAGTTTTAGAATTATTTTCAAAAAACTTGTGCTTTAGTGGTTTGTAATATTTTCTTGTTGTTTTATCTGTATCACCTTCCAGATTGTCATTGAACAAAATACAATTTGTATTAACACATGTTTCTAGTAATCTGCATCCTCGTAAATAATCACTGAAATGAAGTTCAAATAATGAAGTACTATACAAAGGCATATCTACAAATTAAACAGAATGATTATTTACTTACTCTGGTTTGAAGATACCACCAATATACGGTAATACATCACTTTCAAGATGAAGATCAGTTAATGTAACTCGTACCTGTTGCCACATTTGAACATGATTTCCCACCCAATTTTTATCGCCAGTTGGTTTTAAAACAATTACAGTAAAAGCTTTATGTACAACAAGTCCGACATAACTTGGTGCTATTTTACTGACAACTCCTACAAATTTGTCCTCGATTAATAGTGAATGTAGCTTTTCAAAATAACATAAAAATGATGTATGTTACCTTTCAATGAAATTTCCATTTTTGGTCTGAATATATAAAAATTTACTTCAATGTCAATATGAATGAAGCATGAATCATGAATTATTTCTCCCAAAGATGATAATAATTTGGGATTCTTGTAAGCTATTGGGAAACCTTTTAAGCTATACCGTAATTTAAAAAACAATGTAAATGTAATTAAGAAAACCACGTTTATACGTTTTGTTCGAATATTACTAATAACAAATATTCAAAATATAAAAGAAATACGGATTTAATACATACTCTCTATCATAAAGATTCAACATTGAACATAAAATTTCATTCAAAGCGTGCTTTATGTTTGTTAATTGAGACGGATGTAAAGCAAAATGCTTTTTACATCTGTCAAGAGAAACATAAGAATCTTCGTCTTCGATAAGACCTGCAAGCTCTACGTCGGACCATGTAATTCCTGTATACTTTTTGAATTTCATCTTGATCAGTTTCAAAATATGAACTAAGCACGGGTCTGTATGCCAAGACAATTCAGCTTATTCTTTGACGACTGCATAAATCGGCACATAAGACGTTATTTAGGTTCAACAGTCCCAATCAAGTTCCCTCTTGTGTACAGTGTGACAATCGAGAGCTGATTTCCCTAGGAAAAATGACAGTCGAAACAAAGCTGCCAGCCGTAATAAAATTTGCGTTTTAGCATACATTATACAGCAAAGCAAGCTATTTTATTGCGCAAGTTACATTTCAGAAATATGATCCCATGAACTACATCAAAACGTAATTCAATGTTTCAAAAGTCTAATACATAAAAAAAACATAACAAACAATAGTTTATTGTAAAGTAATTAATTTAAAAAATTGAAAATATTTTGGAAATCTCACCTTTATATTCATTTCATAATTTATACAGTAAAACCTGTTTTTGTGCGGTGGATAGGGACCGCATAAAAGAAATCGTACAAAAAAATAGTCGGAAATTTTATAAATACTTACATATAATAAAAAATTTTGTACGATATAATACCTAAAATTTTTTTTATGCGATGGAAAGGGACCACATAAAAAAAGTCGCACTTAGAAAATACATCAATTGTTTACGAAATAGATGAGAAAATGCTTTCAATTAAATTAAATAATACTCGTCGTAATTCAAAACGCGCATCTTCTTGTGATGAATTGGTTCAAAATCGCTTTTGTCGCTTGAAGATAGGATTTCAATTGATTTGTTTTTTGGTACCATAAGTCAATGATCAGTTTTTGTGACGACGGTCGATTGTTCAATTGCTTGTAAACGTCATCATAACGAGACATGCACGATCTCAGCTCTTTTTGGAATTTCAAGCTTCTTTCCGTATTAGTATCTATTTTAAGAAAATGCGTTTCCAATTTTTTAAAAATCTGGATCCCTGCATATATTTTATCTGCTATAATAGATTCCGGTTCTTCTTATTCATTTTCATAATCTACCAAATTATTGATATTGTCACTATCATTGACAGTTTGGTCCTCAATCAGATACATTGTCCTCAAGGAGACCACGTAGTCAGAGTTCGTCCACAACATGTATATGTACATTGATAGGAAACATTAAACTTGCGCCAACGCCGCTGAGATTCATATACCGCATAAAAATAAATCGCACAAAACAAATCGCATAAAAAAGGACCGCACAAAAACAGGTTTTACTGTACTTTCACATATACTGTCTGAAAACAGTATAACCATTATTTAATTATCAAATTAAACAATTGACGTTCGCAGATTATATTACGAGTATTACGAAGTCAGATACTGTGTCTTTTCAGTAGGCTCGAAGCGTTATATTCTAATATTTTTTAAATTGCATTTTGTGGACCCAAAAATCTAGCGCTAGAAAAAAAACTCATGAAACTAAATTTTGAATACAGTAGTGTCTCCTAAATTGTCCCTTACTCGGAATCGAAGTGTGACAACTAGGGAGTATCAGAATCGAAATTCGCAACTTCTTTTTGTAATATACCGAACAAAGAAAAGGACTGAAAGTAAAAATCACGAACAGAAAGCAAGTCAAGGCAATTAAGGAATTTAAATCTTCGCGTATCAAATGTTATATTGCAGGCAATATTTATTCTTTTATTACTAACTTTTTCCGAACAAAAATGTTTTTATCATATTAGTGACTGTGTTTTATTCTGAATTGTAGTCTGCTCTAATTGTTTGTGCACCAGGAAATTTTAAGCAAATACCAAGATGCACTGTGTAGAAGTACTTTAATTTAAACTAAAAACTTGTAAAAATTACAACTAAGTTTCAATAAATTAGTAAATATCAATTGTTCGAGAGTTCGCTCGTAAAAAATTCTGAATTACAGGAGTACGCCTGTGTACAATATTGTGTCGCGAGTCCGCGCGATGTGATTAATAAAGTTCTCAAAAAATTTTGAAATATTCTCAACAATTCTGAAATATTCTGTCTTATTTTCGGAAACAGTCCTTTTATTAACTTGGCGGAGGATTGTGGGGTGACTTCTCTGATTGGGTTTCTGTTTAGCAAAAGGGTGGTCATCTTTTCCGCAATTCGTTAAAAAATCCACGCCTCTGGTCCCTCAGATACAGCATAAGTGACGCGGCTGGAAAGTCCCAAACACTTCACCCTGAAGTCGAGCACCCCATGACCCATCCTGATTGAGTGCAGATGGCAAAATTTATAGCCCACTAAAACCATTTAGTTCTTGAAACGATGTTTTTCCTGTGAAACGATGTTTTTCCTAAGCCAATAAATTATTCCTAGCTAAACAATAAGTCCTCGTCCTGGGTTGCGCGTGTGAATTTACAATGCTCACAATTTACAAACTTTCTAAAATACAAGTCTAAACACTAATTGCAAACTTGTACTCCGTATCGTTCTAAAAATGCAATTACGTCACAGATATGAATGAAACCTATTTAGTCGTTAGGTAGTATATTAAATACATTTCAACCTTTTCGGAGGCGGCGCAAAATTAAAAATACCTCAGTAATCGTTGCTGCCAATAACCAGTTGATCGTGGTATGGCGTATTGGAAATTAATAAATCCTCAGAAGGAATACGTACCATTATAGATATATCTGGTAATATACGTAAATGTAACGACTGCATCTTCATTTCGCAACGTTTCTGATATAAATGAAATTGATTTGACTTCGTTCGCATGTGGAAGCCATGGGTCTAAGAACCTATAAGCGGAGCCCACGATGCGGGAATTACCAAATTTGCGGCAGATGGGCTCTATCTTTATAGTATATGCGGCAATCGAGTCTTTCCGTCGCATACTCTATGAATTTAGCCTTTTTCGGACTACCGCCGCATATATGCGTTCTGCGTAAATCATCAAATTGGCCGAAGAACTCATATATGCGTTCGGCGAAAACAGTTGATTGAGCCGAAAAACGCATATATGTGTGCATGCACGTAAATCTGTGCATGTACATATAATATGTCCAGAATT